GAAAGGCAATAAGGAAGAAAGTGAAATCAGTAAAACATTCTGCCATCACACAGGAGACAAGGATTGTCCTCTTTCATTATTCTAAAGAATCTTTTCCCACTGGTAAACAAGTCATACCTGAAAATGATGTTTCCTGCACGATCAGCCTTCCATGCCTTCACAAGAGCAAAATCTCCTGTAATCGACTTCTCCAGAATAAAGTGACGGCCATCAAATTCTCGCACCTGGAGAGGAAAGTACACTATTGAGATCTTCAAACAGATCTCCCATGTAATATTTATGGGCTTAATTTTACAGACTATTATATTTAGACTTCTTTTTGTAATACATGAAGTTTTAGCTGAAAAACTGTAGCTCAACTGTGTAATAACAGAGAAGCACGGAAAGGCTGTAAACCCCAGTTTTATCAGTGTCTCTGTTCAGTGAAACAGAATGAGAAGCAGATCCGTACTCCTGCTGCTCCATCTACTGGAATTAGACATGCTTTTTCCTGCACATCTACCAGATAACCAAAAACTGAAGTCGCTGAAGCAGAACTGTTGAAAAAGTTCATAATCACTGCCCACAACCAGAAACCCCAAATCTAAAATGAAGTGGATTTGAGACAGAGTACTCAAATCACATCATCTGACAGGCTGAATTTTATTTCATTTTCTCTGCATTTATGATCAATATTTGTAATGATGTTGTGCCTGAAGGCAGAATATGTAACTGACATAGTTACATAGCTAGTATTTTAATCTTATATAAAAACATGAAACAGCATTTCTCTTAACAACGTACAAGGTTACAGTATACACAAATACTACTTGAGAGCTATTTAAAATTTCTGAGAGGGGGAGGAAGTATGATAAAAGTGTATCAGAAGTCAGTTTTTCGGTCCTGAAAAGGAGATCTGAGCTTTTGTAAAATGACACTTGCATTCAAAATGGATTTGGAGAATGGATTTGATCAAATCATGCTAGTCATGTTATTAGCCCCCCAAAAGACTGAGGAGAGTAAGAGAGACTTTTCCACAAATGTTAAAAGTGGAAGAAAAATGTTATCAAAATTATAAGCTATTTAATAAACAAAATATTCCTTCAAATGGTAAAACATCATAATGACATATTCAGTAGGAAAACTAAGGAAAAAAAATACTAGGTTAATGATTAGATACTGAAAATAGCCATGTAGAAAAATACACAAAAACCATGGAGGGGGAAAAATTACTTTTACCCCAGAGACGTTCTTGAGGTAGAATTTAATGCCATTTGCAGCCTAATTGGAACATACAGCAGTAGCCCCATCCAATTCTTCAAGCACCATTATGGCACTGAGAAATCTCTTCCCTTCTCCAAATTATACATCCAAGTTCAATATGAAGCCCTTCTCACTTGGAAGCCACACTTTTTATTTCTTTGCAATTTCAAATACTCAGACTAAATTGCATTTCAACTGTTGGCAAATGTGTTTCCTGAAAGTTTGTGTCAACTGAGCTCTTCCCTGTTTAACAGGAAAACATCTCGTCTCTTCTAATGCTAAAGCTTCATGTACAGCTGCAGGGCTGCTTACTCCATACCACAGTATTTAAGGACCACCTGCCCCACTAATACGAGGTTGTTCTCAATCTGTACTGTGCACTGCAGTGACCTGGTACAAGATTTTGTTTGAATACACAGTGAACCTTGTCAGACAACTGTCAAGTGAAGAGTAACTCATCAAGGCAGGTTTACACTTGGAGCAGTTCTTGATGCTAAGTCACCCTAAAGCTGTAAAAACTTTTCTAACACATCACAGAGGACAGAAGTGAGCAGTGGCAGGAAAACTTACGTGTCTGGTACCACAACCATCCTGTTAATCCAATATACCAAGGTTAAACTTGGCCAGGAGGTGCTTAAACTACTGTTTATCTTGGAAATATGTAAGAAATTCCATTTTCAAAGCAGAAAGCTTCCTAATAACAAATTGACATCTTACCTCTCTTGGCTGGCTAGCAATGGCAATAGTGCCATCTGTGTTGTATTTGATAGGCGCTCCCCCTTCCTGCACCAGCGTCCCATAGCCGGTACTGGTATAAAATGCTGGGATTCCTGCTCCTCCTGCTCTAATACGTTCAGCGAGCGTACCCTGTGGGAAAACACATTTAAGAACTAGTCATTTGGGAACAACAGTCAAACTTTGATGGCTGGCTTGCATGAACTTATTTTTATGTCCTGTCATTTGGAGCTTTTCCTTCTGAACTCAGCAGACCATCACATCTATTTCTTCCTCCCATTTTAGCTTTCCTTTGTGGGACATGGCAAGAAATGCTTCACACACGGCCATAAATTACTCAAGAGCACACCGTCACACAACTCCCTGTCAACTCCCAAGTCCCAGCACTTTGCTGTGCCTCCTCTCCTTCAGCTTGTTTCCCAATCCATTACTCTGAGAAGAGTGCAGAGTTCTTTTTCTCTTTCCCACCTGGTTACATATGCTAGAAGGTTTTTCTTTTATAACAGTCCTACATATTTATGTTTAATTCCCCAACATCTTAAGAAAAACTTCATACCCCATTTCAAGTTGAAACAGCCACACATAGCAGATCAAGAAAGGAAGAGGGAGTCCGGTGATCTGGGTTACCTGTGCTAAGAATACCAAGAAGCTGACAGAACAGCATTTCTACTCTATTTGACCACCCCATCTGCACTCTGCTCTATGTTCAGCTGTACCACGGATATTAACAGCCCAAATTCCTCATCAGCCTTATTATGGACTTATGGCCAAAGACATGTCTGCCTGCTTTTCAGTAGTGCCCTTTCCCAATTTTTTTTGATATTTTTCTGGATTTAATGCAAGAAAAGACCATGATGGTCAATTATCTAGTTTGATGGCCTCCAAAACATAGGTTGCATTTTCCCCAGTTATCCTGCAAGAAACACAATGACTTTTAGTAGGTTTACAAAATGGTGGCAAGAGACAGATGTACCATGCAATGATACAAAGTCCTGTGTTCCAAGCAGCCTTAGCATTTCAAGATCTCACCATGACCTCTCCCTTACTGTGTAACAAGGACACAACAGTCCCCCATTTTGCCTAAAGTCATACCAAACTTGAAGAGCATTTTCCAAAAGGCTATTTTATCTTGACACAAATATTTCAAATCCCCACATCTCCTAGCAAGTCATTAATTCACCTTACTGTCTACCATTGCACACTGTAGACCCAGTATTTTCATGCTGGATCTACATAGCTTGCTTGTGCAGTCCACAAAGCCAACTACATGCCTAAGGAGTTCAAGGTCTTCTAGATGAAAGCACTGAACATTAAGTAGGAAGAAGGAAAAAAAGAATTATGAGGTAATAGAAAGGTAAGATTTGTGACTTTTGAAACATGAGTAGTGACAAGTGCCTGGTTATTTCCATGTCAGCTGACTGGGTATAAAAGGAGCTTTCCTGCCCATCTCTGGGATTCTAAGAGACATTCCCAAGAGATGGAGCCCAAGACTCTCTTCTCCATAAAAACTTAAAGACTGTTGCTTTTCCCAGAGACTTAAAACAATACCTGTTTAAAGCCCAAAGGTTCTGTGTCACCTTTGGAAATGCCACACACTAACATGCTGTAGGCTTTAAAATTAGAGTACTAATTTCAAAAAACTAGATCTCAATAGAATGTGACTGATACTCATTATTTTAGGATCTCACTGCATTCAGGCAATTTGAGTAGCTTGGCAGTGCTAAAATAGTTAAAACTATGGTGCTAAAAAGTAAAGCTGTAAATATTGGCTCATAACACTGTGCAGAGATTAATTTCGTTAAGATTTAATGAACAAGCCCAGAAGAGTTATGTCTCACAATGAACTGAAATCTCCTAATTTGACTCCTACCCACTAGATGGCAGACACCACACAGGCAACATCCCCAAAAGCACACACGAGCCACCACCAGTATGGGAATTCAGCAACTCCCTGACTTTTTTTTCCCCTTATATGGGCCACAGTAGTGAGCATACTTCGTGTTTTTCCTACAATCTGGGAGGAACTACCAAAAATCAAATATTGTACAATAAAATATGCATATATATGTATATACACACTTGAAATTAATATAATGTAACACACCATAAAAGGAATGCACACAATTTGACCAGTCAGTTCTTAACAGACCAGTTGCAGCCTACAGCCCATGATCCTAAGATGGCAAGTGCCATCTGTCTTTACTGGACATCTGCACACAGGCAAAATATTTGGATTGCAAAATAATTTTATAAGAGCACTTAAGCATTATCCTACTCAGTATTTTAGATGAAAAGAAATCATCAGTCTCCTACAGACACTCCTTACCTGAGGTGTAAGCTCAACTTCAAGCTCACCAGATAAATACTGGCGTTCAAATTCAGCGTTCTCCCCAACATATGATGACACCATGCGTTTTATCTGCTTAGTCTGAAGCAGAAGACCAAGTCCAAAATTGTCAACACTGTGTAGAAAAAGCCAGACAATACTCAGCATTTATAACAGAGTTTTGTTGTATTCAAAGCACTTGATAACTTTAATGACTTAACAAGATAGGACAAAGTTATGTCGCCCCCCTTTAGATATAAGGAATTGGAGACAAAAATCAAATTCCAGCTTTTAGGAGGGAGAACATCAAAGCTACAATTAAAATTTAGGAGTCCAGTGCTCAGACTTCATTTCTTCCAAGGCACTCAATACATCCACAACTTCATTTTAAAGACATTTCACAGGTAACAGGTACAAATACCAGCTTAACAAGGGGTGTAATTTTACATATCTGCTCCTTTAAAAAGCCTTACTAATTAATAAAAAATCACAGGTGGCACAACCTGGCTTTCAGTGAACAAAGACTTATTTTTTATTTAAACTCTTGCCCCCCAGGAAAAAGGCAAGTGATTGCTTAGCAGCTCAAGAAGAAAGACATATTCACATTTATAGTGCTGGTTTGTATATAAGGTAAGAGAATATTTGTATTTAAATTTTCTTATTACAGTAAATAATTCACTTTCTTATTAAGAAATTGCCTACTCCAGCAAAAGATATTAACACTGCAGTCAGGATTTTCTTGTCTGTGTCATAATACCAGCTTAAACTGAATGCCAAAGGTAACATACAACATTTTACTTGTGCCAGTGCTTCTGAATTCTGACACCCTAAAGCCATTACTCTCTATTAGTCTTCAGTATTTTTGTGATGTTTGTCACCCTATATTGTGTACTGATGGGACAAGAACATATTTCAAGAGTTACTGTAACAAAAGGGCTCTATAAAAAAAGCCATTTCAATTTGAAAAAATATCAAGTTAAAATATAAAAATGGAAATAAACAGAGATGATACTACAAAGGCATGTTTCTTTTACATTTCCAACACATTAATGCAGGATATTGGCAGACTGGTACATGTGTGCGAAGCTCCTCTACATTTATGTTGGTTTCTGCAACATATGAGTAGAGAACTCAGACCTTCCACTCCCGCTATGGGAAAGATGCCATGATCCAGAAGCACCTCACAAAAAGTGATGTATATTTGCCACTAGTTCTTTCAATTCACTATTACTTAATTATCCACACAATGGCTTGAGATTTCAGCGTAAGAAATATTGAAAAATATTAAAAGAATCCTTTAAGAAACCAAACCCAGTATATCCAGCATGCTGTAATTAACATGCACACGTGCTTACAGTATATGCATCCTATTGAAAACACCACTCCTGAAGAAGAGCTCCAAAAGGTTGTCTGTATTTTCTAATTCTATTAATTGCTTTAATGAAATATATCCCTTTTCTATATAAATCTCACCTTCCTGGTATTCTTACACCACCATGTCTACAATACTGCTTCCTTCTTTAGATACTGTCAGAAATGAAGTCTCTTTCCACTAATGACCAGATCGAGGCATGCGACTGCTTTCCCTGTAGTGTCCCTCCTTAAACCTTACCCAAATTATCAGTAAGTAATTATATCCCCTAACCCCAGCTTTATAAGCTATGGTGATGGGGACAAAAAGAATGTAAAGGAGACATATATAAGTACTGTAATACAAATCTATACTCCCCATACAAAAAATACTATCTTACTCAAAAAAGGGGAAAAAAACCAACTTAGAAATAAAGATACAATGCTGAGTGAGCTGAGAGGTATTTGTTTTGCACAATAAATCAGTGTAGATCAGAGGAAAGAACCTACTGAGCCACAAACAAACCTCACTTAAGGTACGTTAATACTCCATCACTCCAGGATCCATGTCAGACTTCCCAGCTGCCACCTCCTGGCATCCTTTCAAAAAGCCAGATTCAAAAAGTTTACTATTATACAGTATTCATTTTCAAATATTAAAGTGGTAATGATGAACCCACTTTTACAACAGCACCACTATCCTCTTGCTTGCCAGCACCAACGTCCCATAGCATGTGCTGCAGTGCTGCATGTGAAGGGAGAGAGGCTGAGCAGAGCGGTACCAGCACCAGCTTCTCACCTCCTACTACAATACTCACAACAGCTGCATGGACAGATGTGCAGTCAGAAAGACTTTTCAAGTGCATGCATAATGAGGACTATATTAAAGTTAGGACTATTTTAAGAAGATAGCCCACTTCTATGCATACTCAGGCATTTTGGAAACTGCATGATAGGAAGTGAAACAAGCTTCTCTGATCTGGTTCTCTGAATTTATTCTATGTTCTCTAGATATAAAGAACTTGACTTACTATAAAAGCTTTCTCTACTCCCCAACTCTGACCTATTAAAAAAAAATTAAAAATCTAACTCTGATGCAATGTTAAAAGTGTTGCGGTGCCAAAGCCTTGAGAATAAAATGTGCACTGCCTAGAAACAACCTATATTTCTAACTCCCCACAGGAAAAAATTCCAGCAGTTTGAAACTAAACGAGCTGGAAATAGAGTAGAAAGAGGAGTCTTGTGGGTAAAGAAAGGGATTTAAAAAAAGAATAAAAATACAAATGCCAGAATTTCCTCTACAGGGTCACTCAAAGCAGGACAATCCCTCTCACAAGAAAACCATCAAACCCTGACCACTCGTTATAAAAGGTAGTAAGCAAATGTAACAGACCAGGCAATACCTGAGAGCAGTTTAATGGGTTTGTATAACTGGAGTACTGTGTAGCAAAAGTACGGAAGTTAAAACAAAATTATGCAATGCGCAAGAACCAGCAGGGGCAGCTTGAACTGCTTACAAACCAGAGTTTGCTACTTCTGTGTATCATTCAGGTGGTTAACACTGCTCTTACCATTGCAAAACTTGCAAGCCATCAAACAGAAACAGGCAGACACAAGATTTCTGCATGCAGACAACAAAATTCTGACTGCATGTTCACATGAGAAGGGATGGCAACAGAGGGTCAACAGCAGATTTGTAATGGTTAAAGAAAGTTCTGCCTCATTTCACTAAGATCTATAATCCTTCCTCCTACCGTCTCAGAAGCTGGACATTGTCCTTAACAGGATTTTCCGTATCATCCTGCAGCATCCCATGCAGGATCCTATACGGATACACTTGCTTCCCTCAGCTACCACACGAAGGTATCTTCTCTCAAACAAAACTTTGTAGTTACAAAGTTGCCTATATAAATTAAACAGAAAATGACACAAAATCATTCTCTGTCACACTCATCCCAAGTTATTCCTCATTTCTTAAGTCACTCTTTCTCCTCACCTCAGAGGCAGTCAACTTATTCAAAAATAAAACTGCAGTGAGGATCAGTCACTGCGCACACAGGTCATACAACCTCACTTCCCTAGCACAATGACAAGAGGAACTTTACCTTTAGAAAGTCATGCACCAAGAGGCTCTGCCTGTCTGATAACACAAAATTACTTCAATTCCCAGCCACACTTCATCTTCAGAGCAGCATCACAAAATCCAATTCTTGTTACTCATCTTATATGTTTATTTTAGATGTAAATTTCTTAAAAGAAATATAGTGCTATCCATCCTTTTTAAGGATGCAATCTGCATTCAGTTTTCCAGCTGAAATAACCCCTTTGCTTTCCATGCACATCAGTTTTCCTTTCATGTCCCTCCAAAAACTCATTTTGAGTATTTCAGCCTATTTTACGTTTCCTATGTTTTTTTCTTATATTTGAATGTTCTAAGAAACCAACATTTCACACAGCAGTGAGAATGCTGTTCTTACTCCTATTCTCCCTACCTTTTGCTCTTTACTTGACATCTCTATCCCAGAATAAAAATAAAAAACAATTTCTGGTTTAGGGAAATTTCTTTCAATATAACATTTCAATGTAACATTTTTTATGTTACTTACTTGTTCTCCCTTTCCATATTTTGCTGCTTTCTTGGTTGTTTTGTTTTAGGTGCAAAAATTTCTTTGAACTTTTCAGCTTATGTTTATGCTGAAAATGTTACCCTTAAACTATCTGTCTTGCAGGCAATGCCCTTCCTATCAAATAGAAACCATAAAAAGAAAAAAAGATCCTTTACTGAGTGCATTGGAAAGAATACATCCTGTACACCTATTTTAAAAGCTGGGTTCAATCCTTTAAAAATTTAAACAAAGGTGAGTGCAATAAAAATGTGTTGCCCTAGATAGGAAGGAAAAAGGTGTGGTGGAAGTTGATGTAGTTGTTACGTATGCTGTCGGAAGAGTGAAAGTACACATTATTGCTAGACAGAGAATGTGTTCTTTTGCCCTCAGAATTGTTAAGATCTCTAGAAGTTTCCTCATACTGTATTAGGATGAAATCTGAATCAACAGAATACATGAAACACATATAGGAAAACAGATCCAACCTGGCACTCATCAAGAACATAGGTGATGCAAATTCCCCATTCTACAGATGCGGACGAGAAAAAGTAATCACAATTAAGGAGGTCTGGTTCTTTAGCAACACATTCCTTCCTATTGTTTTGTCCCTCTCAGACCTACAAAACCTTCCTGTCAAAAACTAATGTCTGCCTTTTCTAATGAAAAAATTAGCCAAAGATGACTCCTAGCCAGATCTAGCCCACATCTCTCAAGTATACTGGAAGTAGTCTAAGGCAACATGCCCATGCTGCACTCCAGATAAACGGTAATTTGCAGCTCTCAAAGTTTTCTCTTTGGTGGCTCAAGCAAAACACATTCTACAGCATCACAGGGAAGAAGAGATTACCTAAGTTTCCAAGCTGATAAAAGCTTCACACACCAACAAGCCCTACACAGCCTGATGAAGTAGGGAATAGAAATTTGCATTCTTATGCAGAAAAAAGGAGACCTGGAATGTCACACTACTCTGGCAAGAGATGTAAGATGGCTTTTTGGGTTTTTTTGAGTAAAAGGAGGTAATTACACTCTCCACTCTCTCTGCCTTTGTGAAGACATTTATAGGTGTCTAAGAAAAGTAGGGGTGGTCAGGACAGACTAGCTGCCCTTATTGGGAACACTGGAAACCACTGGTAACAAGAGGGCTTCATTCTACATCTCTTAAAGAGAAGTATTCCTCTAT